ATAATGTTATAAACCCCATCAAAGGTTTCATTGGTGAGGATAATCATAGGCAAGCACAGATTAAAATTTACAAACACAAGTTGATTAAAGATGTTTCTAATCCTCTCCAGGAAATTGTTGACTTTGTGTAGCCTTCTTATTTATCAAATTTAAAAATAGCACTTATTTTCAATAACATGCTATTTTGGCACCTACAATTGAAAAAATGGGTCAGATAAATGATTATATGCTTGACCAAATGGTTAGTGACTCACAAACATATTTAAGTTTAGAAAGATTATGCAATAAAAAACAATACAATTCAGTGACCGAAATGTTGTACTAACCTGATGTCCTAAACTCCATGAGATTGTAAGAAATACCAATCATGAACTAGAGTTGAACTTAGGCTCTCTGATAATATTTTTGTGCAATCTTGATCATCTCCAGGGCTATGTAATGAAATACTCATACATGTAATCGCCTAGCAGAACGAGTGATTTAATCAGAAATCATTTCTAAAAATAATGTTGGAGCTCGAATGTTCATACCTAGAGTTCATTTAACTCCATCTAAAACATGGATTTCATTCAAATTTACACCCAAGAAATTCCACTTGGTGTTGTGTTTTGTAATGAGAATCAGTAAAATTCAATGTTGATCACTTTTGATAGTTAGGTTATTCTTGCAAAGATCTGTATTTACCCACAAACAAATGTATGTCGTTATTTCTAGAGTAACAAGAAAATGGGGAATAAGGTAGTAATCATGGATGAAGAAGGTAACTTATTAACCACAACGACTAATCTTGTTTACAAACATTGTATTTTTTTTGTTGATCTTTTTGTTTGGCTTGTTTAATGTTTATTGCTCTATACATGTTGTATTGTATAATATTTATATCAGTATATTTAGTAATTTGTTGATTTTAATCCATTTGGTATCTGTACGGTACAACTATTTCTAAAATCAATATCATTGAGCATGTATCGATACGTGTCTAGCTCTTTATAGTAGTACCACTACATACATTTCTAAATATGATCAATTCGGATCCTCATAGATAAATTAATAACACTTTTCTTAGATAGAGAATTTGTAATTCGTTGAGGTTTTGTTTCATAGAGCATAATAGTTTTAGTGTTTGCTTGTCAAGCAAAGAGTAAGCGGTTATTTATCCCGATAAAAACTAAAAACCATATATTATATTTAATTTTGGATGTCAAGGATGAATCAATAAGGTTTTCGTTTCATAGTGCACAATTAATTTTAGTTTTTTATTTTCCATGAGAACATTAAAATAGGTTTTCTAACCACCCATTAATGGGGCCTCCCAAATCCCAAATTTGTGGGGTTACGAGGGAAGGGAGGGGGTTCTTCTTTGGCGATTTCCTAGGTAGAACATTTTCAGTACTACATCACACCCTTCTCCTTGCCAACGTGATTTAAGCACTCTAAACTTAGGTCACCTATAGGGAGATGCTTACCAAGCCTTACCCAGGTGGTGGTTAAACATTAGGAGATAATTTTCTTAATAAAATGGGAGAAAGGAAAATATAAGTTACATGAATTTTAGGAAACATGGATGAAGATGAAGGGGATGTAAGAAGACAAGGGCAATAATGTCATTTTATGGTTTTACGCCCATCCTCAATGGGGATTTAATGGTGTGTTAATTGAGCAAATTGCTAGTGAGGTGACGTTCAATACAATAAACCCACCATTATAGTTGACGTTCAATGAGTTTAACAGGTGGTGTAAGATTTTTTTTTACTTTAGCCAACATTTAACTTTTGTTTTTGTCGTTAAGAAACTTTATATTATTATTCTTTTATTTATACTATATTTATAATTTATTTTATTTTATATTCAATAATAACTTGTAATTTGTAGCTTTTAATTTTTTTTACATATTAATATTATTTATAAAAAGATATAATAAAATATTGATGTGACAATCCATTAGTTTAATAAAATGTAGAGTTTAATAAGTAAAATAATATGGTTAGTGGAATGCTCATGTGACAATACATTTAACTCTTAAGAGTTCAAGCATTGGCAAATGTGGATCCACGATCAAGGTAAAGGGAAGTAAAAGGGTACTCCAAAAAATTTTTCAAAAAAAATTACATTACTGAAAAAAAAATTGGAAAAAAATTATACTACTAATTTTTTTTAAAGCCCATCCCGGGAACCACCTAGATTCGTCTGATCCGCCTAACCGCCAAACCAAAACACAAGAGACATAAAAAATTACAAAAGATAAGTAAGGGATGAAAAACGGTGTACAGTTTTAAAGAAGGGACTATATAAGTCCATAGTTTTGATCGGTAACCATAGAAGATAGGAAAACAGTACACTACAACATCTTCATGGAAATTCGAAAAAATCGAAACATTCAAAAATAGTTCACAGCTGGTTACATTTTGCAGGCATAAATGACAAACTGTTCTTGCCAAGATCGTAACGCATCATCATGTTTTGTTGTTGCATGTTTCCAAATATAGACACCTGCTGTTCATTCTTGACGATAGGCATGAATGCCAAACAAGCCACACCATTTTTTGTGTACATGTAATTCTCTCGTGGCAGATCCCAATTCGCACCAGTGAAATGAAACACCAACTTGGGTATGATCTTTTCATCGTTCAAACTTCAAAGTGTACTTGAAGCATCCCTTGAACTTCTCGAGCTTTGTTTGGTTCATAAAAGCATCTTCAATAAGGTTAATAATACTTTCGTCTAAGTACGTGAATGTGAATGTCGTACATGAGTTCAGTTGATGATCATCCCACCGTTTTTTATCGCGAAGGCAGATTGATCGATGGCCAATTTAGTTTCAAGATGTAGTAATATGAATCCCCTTTGTTGAGCACAGGGGTAGTTTAGTAATTGTTCTGTCCCCTCAAGGGTATATATAATATACTCCCACCGTAAGGTGCATGGGATAAGGTGGACATTTAACCACACGAAACACCACACATCCGGTTAAAATTTTGAACCAAAGAATCAACGTACAGTGATATTACACTATATTCTTTTTTTTAATGTAACTTGTACGTAACAATATATAAATGCTTCACGTTTATTAAAAAAATAATGTAAGAAATATTAGGAAAATGAGTATTGAATATTTTCTCGATTTTAAAGAATAAAAATAAAAAGAAAAATGAGATGACGTTTGGTTGACAGTTGACAAATTAAAATTTAAAAATAAATAGCATTATCCAGCCTTAGAATCGTAGATATTTATTTTTTGATTAAGTTATTTACACAGTTGATTTTTAATCAACACAATCTCAACCTATTTGTTTATTAACCGGGATAATGATTTAGGAGGGTAATTAGGTTTTTAGTTTGTCTGTTTTAGGCCAATAAGGTTTTTTTGTGCGTATTAGACCAATATGGTTGTTATTATCGTTTAGAAATAGTCATTTTTACCGGTTTCTTCCTGTTTAACCGGTAAAAATGACTATTTCTAAAAGGTAATAATAATCATATTGGTCTAATACGCACAAAAAAAAAAAACTTAGTGACCTAATACGGACAAACTGGAAACCTAATTACCCTCCTAAGTCATTAACCCTAATTATTTAGAAAACATGCTTACTAATCAATGTGACTGACTTGTTTGACTGAAAATAGTTGCTTCCATTTAAACTTATCACACAACCCTTCCAGAATTTCCAAGTCCAAAAACTCATATGATTGATGATCTTCATTACATAAATATGCAACATTTTATCAATAACTTCTTTTTTGTCATTTAAATGTTTACATGAACACATCCATATGTACAAAAACAATCTCACTTTGATACCTCCCATCAATGTCTACATTTGATAACAAATGGAAATGTAAAACCAACAGGGACTTGGAAAGGATGTCTATTGTCAATTATTTTATAAACAGCAAAACCACAACATAAACTAAGAAATTGAAGTTGCAAAATGAATAAAAAATCAGCACATAAACAAGCACATACAGACTATATACAACACATAAACGGAAGTTTATAAAGCATGAAACTTAATGACAGGAAAAGTAAAAAACTTAAAGGAGACTTTATAGAAAGAAAGATCACCCTTACTTGCCACAAATGGTTGAAGACATCAACAAGAAGATCAATCTGACCATGGAATCCACATGTTGTCTGATCATGACTTCAGTAGTTCATCTACTGAAACGTAAGAATTGCAATTGAACTCTATTAGCATTTGAAAAGGGAATTAGGGTTTCAGAGAAGACGACGAAGAGTTTAACAAAAATTTGGACCATTTCTCGATTTGTGTGTGTCATCCTTGCGCAGGGGCCATGCTAATCTTCTCTGTATCGTTCCAATTTTATCGGATGTCCCCGAAAGGACGACTATATGTGAAGAGCTTCGCCATATAGAGGAGTAGCAGGTTCTTCTTCTGGTCGATATGGGACGACGCGAGTTCTAAACGAACTAGTTTACTGTTGATGGTCATATATTCTCAATGTCTTTAAAATTAGGGTTAATGACTTAGGAGGGTAATTAGGTTTCCAGTTTGTCCGTATTAAGTCACTAAGGTTTTTTTGTGCGTATTAGACCAAAATGATTGTTATTACCGTTTAGAAATAATATTTTTTACCGGTTTCTTCCTGTTTAACCAGTAAAAATGACTATTTCTAAACGGTAATAACAAACATATTGGTCTAATACGCACAAAAAAAACCTTAGTGACCTAATACGCACAAAAAAAAACCTTAGTGACCTAATACGGACAAATTGGAAACCTAATTACCCTCCTAAGTCATTATCCCTTATTAACCATGTTAGGTTGATTTGCATTAAGATTCTCAAGCTTGTTTAATAAATGGTTAAACCGATCCAAACTCAACCATTTCCTTTACACCCATTGCCCCTCTACTATTTCCTTTACAAGTTATACAAAATTTACAAAATAAGCTATCATTTAAAAAATATGAAATTTCATTGTTCCATTTAATCAAATAATCAAAAATCTTAACCGAGTCTAATAAATACACCCTGAAAATTAAAATGAATTCATTTCCAGTGTATAAGACTTTTTCTTTTCAATCAACTTCCTCACAGCTTCTCCCATGCACTTCTCGTCAAATGCACCCATTGCCAAGCTGACGTCATCATCCTTCTCCGCCGCCGTAACCGCCGGTCTAATAACCGCCAGAGTCGCCCCTTTCATCACGTAACCAGATTCCGGCAACTCCAACACCGGCACGTACCACATCTTTATCGTCACCGCCGGAACTTTCGTTCTTTCCGCCTCCACATCCACCTCCGTCGTGGGACTCACATCCTCCCTGAGCTCCACCACCTGCCTCTCCGTCATCCCAATCGTCCCTTGTTTACTTCCATCGCTGATCTTCACATCTCGTATCATCGGATTTAACGAAATGATCTTCTTCAACATATGGTGTCTCGCAGAAGAAGCAATCAAGCACGATATCGTCCACACAACTCGTTTCTTAAGCTGTTTGCTAGTCAAGTTTCTAGACTCCAATGGCGCCGGCGAACTTTCATCGTTTTTACCGCTTTCCTCTCCGTCGTTCTTCAGTTTCATTTCTGATTTCTTAAATCCTGTAGCTCCCAAAATCACGCAGCTCTCGAGTTCCTTCCCAAACTCCGCCTTCCATTTCAACAACGCGCCTGAACCATTTTCCGACGAGATATCTCCGTCGTGACCGGGGAGTTTCACGGATAAAGACCGGATTTCCTTAAAGTTCTTGAGCAACTCATCAGGCAATCTAAACATGGTGTCGTCTTCTTCATCATCGGAATTACAGTGGGAACACGCCTTAGATTTCCTCGAAAACATACGATGTAAAAGAGATTGAATCGGATTCATAATGAATCTTCCAAAGAAAGCTTTTGATTTGTTCGTATGCCAACCGGAATCCCCATTCTCCGGTAGCTTATTCCGGCGAATGATTTCTAGAGAAACGTTGTCCGTTTGGGTAGCAAGATCTCCGAAACGTTTACAGAGAACCATACAAGCAGATAACGATCTGGCATCTTGTACTCTGTTGAAGATTTCAAGAACCAAAGCATCTGGTAACAGATCGAAAACATCTACAGCTTGTTGTTGTTCTGAATCTTCTTCGAGTCCCATTTTCCAATGAAGCTTTGAAGGAAATTGTGTTTGAATGTTCAAATGTTGTGAATGGAGATGAAGAAGATATATACATGGCTATGGCGGGGAGGTTGGGTTAGGGGAAGGTTCGGCTTAAGATGTCGCCGGCACACGTTTACCAGGCCGGTCAAAGTTTTTGACTTTGAATAATAAAATGGTCTCGGTTTTTTTATCTGGAATTGTTATATTCGACCCCCTACACTTTCAATATTTGTCAATAACCAGCATCGTAGTTTATATAAACTGTTCCCACTAGTGTTGGACATTGCGTCATATCGTCGTGGCCTTAACAAAAATATATAATTTGAACATTTGACTTTGAAGTATAAAGTATTATCCATCAGATTAACTATTAACATGTTAGCATTTTGAAACGTATTCCAAAAAAGACAGAATTTCATATATGTTTTTATTAAACTTCTAAATATCATATTTTGTCCGGTATTAAATCTAAATATCATATTTGTCCTTTGATTTTTCTAAATATCATATAAATCTAAATCTAATTTTTTAATATTTTTTATTGATTTATAATTCATTTTTATATTTTTAAATCATTATAATTGAAAAACATATTAAATGGACAATAATGCCCTTACTTCTAAATGGCAATATGAAAAGAAAGTTTACATATGCAGTAAGTAATAGAAAAACAAGAGTAAGAATATGAAAACCAGCATTTGATTAAAAAGGTAAGTTTGTTTATAAGACCATTGAGATCAAACTAATACTACATTGTTTATGTTATAAACTTTAATCAATCTAAAACATTCATGTTAGGGGTGAGCATAATAATAATAAAAAAAAGAACAAAAACCAAATTAACCGATACAAATAAAGTTTAATAACCGAACCATTATTAAAATTGATTGGTCAGTTCGTTTTTTAGTTAACCGATAAGTAGTGGTTTGATTATGATTTTATAAAAAGCTGACACATTAATAACCGAACTGATAACTTATATTCAGGGGGTGTTTGGCCAAGGAGATTATTAGCTTATTATCGGCTCTACACCGCTATAAACCAAAAAATATTTGGATAAAAACAGCTTATAGCTCTGACAAACCGCTAATAAATCATTTTTTATAAGTTAATTTCCTCTAACTTATTAGCTTTTAAACTAATAAGCTAATAAGTTATAAGCTAATAAGCAATAAACATTTTTGCCAAACACCCCTTGATCATATAAGTTATATATTATAGATAAGTATTAAATAATTATAATCTAAGCCCAATTTAAAATTCGAGAAAATTAACAATCGAATGAGGTATTTTTTTTTATGAAACTATGATATCTTATTTGAAGGATTTACTCCTTACTGCCAGAGCACCCTAAGTATTATAATTTATTGTCCTCAGAAAAAGTATTTCATCATATATTTTGTGATTACTAACTTCTTCTTTGTTTGTAGATGAAACATCGGTTTCAAATAAATTCGTTAATGATAAATTTGTTAACTTCAGTTAACTGTAGGTTAGAATTACTCAAGTTTATATCGATTTAGTTTATGATACACGGTAAACAAACTTATATGAAATTCTTCAACATGTGGTTAAGACCACTATGTTAATATTGGTCTCCATTATAAGAAACACCACCACCATGATCCTCCTCTATCTATTCTTCAAATTCTTAGAATCGCTCACACTGGATCTCAGTAGCAATTTAACTTGATCAATATTATTCCGTAAATGTTTTGTAATTTATTTTATAATCCCCTTCCCTTTTTCATTTCAGTTTTATTTTAAATTTTATATGATCCAAATAAACCTAAAGCTAAATTCATATGAATGTTCTAAATTCACATGAAAGTTGGTCGTTATTCAAAGTTGCTAAGGGAGAAGAGAAAAAGTTATGGTGGGATTTTTCAATTTAAGAATTAATATTAATCAATGCAGAGTTTCAATCAAAACCATAATTAATTAAAAATTAATAAATACTAAACTTTATATATAAATTTAAGAACAAATTGCATAAAAGATATTAAGTTTACATAAATTTTTAATTTTGACTATTTTTCTTAGTTACGTTACTAAGTTTACATTTTTGTTGCAAATTTAACCAATCGAATTATTTGTTTCAGGTGTTTCATGTTTCTCACTTGTTCCGTAGGCAAAAAACTGATATGACCTCCACATATGATCTATACTCACTTTCTTTTATTTATTCTTTTTTTCTTCTCTAAAAGCATTACGATTTTGTGCAATGATTTTTCAAGATCGGTTAAGCGGTTCATCATCCCAGAGGGGTATAAGCAAAGCAAGTAAGGTTTCTTTTAGGAGATATTACTGTGAACAACATTATTTGTCTTGCTTACACCACTTTGGGACGATGAACCACTTTACAATGAGCCTAGATTTTTGAAGACCATGACCTACGACAATCTAAAAGAAATCACAGTCAACCTAGATTTTCAGATACGTTGACCTATGAAAATCTCAAAAAAAAAAATACAAAAAACATTTTTTGTAGATGGTTGACTGCAAAAGCAGTGGCTATTTGAGTCACTTTTTAATTTTGTGTCTATTTTGATGTAAAATGTTTTTTAAAAATGACTATTACCCGGTCAAATTTTCTATTTTTCTTATTTTCTTTATTCAATTATTGTTATGTTAGCATATTTTTTTAGAACAGTTTACACATAGATTACTTAACTCTTAAATCTATATTTTTTGGTCCATAGTGGGATTTAATTAAACCCTCAGTCTTTGGATGGATACTTTTCTATCAACTTCTAATACGCTTAGACTAAAAGCTCTTTGATAAATTAACATAAGTAACTTATATAGAATTAATAAAAGTCTATATTACGAATGTGTTACCTAATCTTTATAACAATACAAATACTTTTAAATAGACCCGCAATCACCTCATATCAACAAACGTGCTAATTTTTTTCTTTTTAATTTTTGAAATAAAAATGGTCTAGCATTTGTGAGTAGTTTTCCCCGTATCCTTATTATAAAAAAATAACAATAAGGTTAGATGATTCAATATAAAAATATGCTGGAGCCTAGACATAATAATTTTAATGTATAGTTTAAAACCCACATGCGTAGGTTCTGCACCTCGTGCGTAATAGGGAACTTTTTTAACAGTTCTCTTTTGAGATTATATCACATGCTTTATAAAAAAAAATGTTATAAATTAATACTAAAAGTATTATACAACTTGGTGCAGAAATGTACCCTTCTTTCTTTTTTGCCAAACTTTATTAAATGGGTTTATTAAAGGTGGGGCTTAATACTTCGGGTTTGTAGTTCTTCCTTGTTTGGTTGTGTCATGTGTGTGTCATTTATTTAAAAAGAAAAATTAGAAAAAAAAAAAATCTGGTTTTTGGTTACAAGAATTTTGGTGATTTAGTACTGTATAGCACAATGCTATGATTGAAACTTATAGATAGCCTTAAAACATTGTTCACACTGGTGGATGCACTACAAAATTTGATGGGCTAGCACATATGATTTTAAAGGCAGTAGATTGGAAAATTTTATATTACACTAAAAAAAAGTTATTTTCTTTTATACTATAATGAAAACTTTGAATAGCACCAGTTACCCCATAAACCCCTTATGTCTGCCCTTATTGTTCATGAGCCCGGTTCCCGAATATTTCTCTTGTGGTTTTGATGCCTTATAAGTTATAATACTCTCCTTGGGTCATAAAAGGGAGTCAAGGTTCAAGTCACAATTTAATTGGTTATTGTGATGGAGCTTTCAAAACATAAGATGTCGCAAATTGTTGTATGGATATAGTGTCTCTTTTCTTAAATTGTACTTAAATTGTACACCATCCAGCTTGTCATGTTCGTTAATAATAATATTTTTGATGTTCAAAGAAAATCTATATAATAATAGTAACATATAACACTTAAAAATAAACCTAAACTAAAGTCATAGTTAAAAATGACATACATTACTTTTATAGAAAACAAATACGTTGTATATATTAATATTAAAAGTAGAATATGTCACCCTTTTCTATAATTAGCTATTAATTTTAGAGAAATCTCTAAATTTTTTGTCCAATTTACATTTTAGTTCAAAATTATTGTTTTTCTAATGAAAAAGTTTTGAAAATCGGTTATTATTTTCAATTCAATCATTTTTTACCTTTTTATCATGTAACCTGTTGAGATGGCTGCCAGAGCACCACCACGCTTCTTCTCTCTTTTCGCCAAAGCATGACAGTGACTGTGGACAGCAGAGTTACCTGCTAGTGAAGGCGGATGCTACCGTAAAGATGGACAACAAAGTTACATGTTACTATGAAGGTAACCCGAAGAATAGAGCTACGAAACATTTAGCCGATTTTTATGACTTTTTTAATAAACAAAATTAATTTGAAACTATTTAATAACCTATCCAAAAAAAAAAAATGACAAAAAAATTGACAAAACCCTTAATTTTAAAAGATCAAAACGTTAGATTAGGAATAGTACTCGTTTTGTCTTCGTGGAATGTACGTGGCAGTCTTATCCAAAATCATCCACCAAACGGACAAGATAACACGTTCCTTTTCTTTTTTAAAATTCTATAATAATTTTATGTTTGTATAATTGTGAAGTTTTATTCATTTTCTTATTAAATATTTATTTGAATATATAAGTTTAGACAAAGTTAAATAAATCATTCTGGAGATCGAGATTTTCTTTCTTTTTCATCGAAAATGAAGAAGACCGAGGATGGCCTATGGTGCCTAAGACTCAAAAAAAAATTTGTCAGCCTGTATGAAAGAGATTTACGGAATTCCACAAACAAAATAATTATTGTTAAATGACCCGGAGTGTTTATTAAGGACTTATTCGGCACTCAACGTTCTTTGACTTTTAAGAAAACGCTCGTGAAAAAAAAAAAAAAAAAACTTCCTTCGGCGAAAAGAGTGTTTAACTTTTAGTGTAAACCAAACGTTCCAAAATCAAAAGCTACATGGAAAAGCCTTCAACAAAACGCTCCAAAATCAAACGTTACCCGCTATC